CAAAAGTGTCCTTGTAAGGGTTCAAAGTAGATCCGAGGCAAGAAGAGTCAGACTCAAGTAAATAGGGTAAAAATCTCCTTCGTAAACTTAAAGACTATGGCAAAAGAAGCCAAAGTCAAACTAAAAACCATGGCAAGTTAAGCCGAGATGCCAACCCATAAGCCCAACGACATGTTAGACCGAGATGCTAAATTCGACATCTTCAAGATTCTAAACCAACTCTATGTCATTTTCCAAGTCAAAATATATAGCGAGAAATTCGAAAGTAAATTGTTAAGACCTCAGATAAGAAGTCGAGTTCAGCCAACGAAGGCCCACGGTGACACGTGTTGGCCAAACAAAATGTTATACAGATATTATGCAAGGCCAACAAGACAGATACTATACGCCACAATAAATCAATACTATATGCCACGACAAATCAAGATAGGTTCAAACAACTCTATAGAAGATGCATCCTATGAGGGCTAGACAATTCGGACAAAATCACGATTCGTCGACCTGTGGAGTTAGTTAAACAGGATCAAACCGCTCTAAGATGCCTTGAAGCAGTTGGGCTGCTAACAAGGCCACAAGCAACCCGACCTCAGGTTCAAGTTTAGAAGCTCAGCTATAGCCTCGAGCTCCAAAGGCCCTAAAATGACTACGACAACAGTGAATTGCAAATAGCTATGTAAAGACTATCACTTTTTAATAAAAGGTTAATTATTAAGTAATATCCTGCTTACACTTAGACATCGACAAATCGAGCCAAGTCTAGACTTAAGACCCCTCTATAGAAGTCAAGGTAGATAACGAAGACCCATGACTGAACATGTCGGTCTTAGGGCCCGAGCTACGAACCCAACACCTAAAAGGACCCCGTAAAGTTGTGCGGATTAAGACCACCATGGCATTGTTGGCTTCAAAACCTCAAATGTCACAACATTACAATTCAGGACCGAATAACAAATGGTATAAGGGAAAAAAGGCAACATACCGAGCCCAAATCTCTAAAGCACCCAAAAAAACATTACAAAATAGAGTCTCGGTAAGACAAGTCAGGTTCACAAAAGATAAAGCCTCATTAACACAAGCCGAGCTAAGGCAACTTTAATAGAAAGAACATAATGATGCATAAAAAAAGCATGATAGAAGTTGAAATGGCCATGTCAAAGAAAATAAAGGGAGGGAACTTACAACACAAAAAAGGGCCCAAGCCCCCACAAAAAGAAGGCAAGCAGAGTGACTCAAGAACGCCAAGCAAAACGATTAAGGATAAACCTAGACGTGTCTGAGGTGCAAGAAAAATACTACAGCGCGGTAGCCTGAACGCTCAAACTACCGGACTGGGGACAACTTTTCTGGAACCATTCAATGGGCCCATATCTTAACAATATAACTACCACTGACAGGCTAAAAGGATAAGGATAATCCATCATTCTATCCCCAACAATCATTGTTATATCAAGACTCTACACCTAGAGGTAACCTTTTTTATAAATAAATGGTTAAGTCTTATGTACATACTCTAAATTTCCTGCTCTCTTGTTTATCACAGTGCACACACCCCACGCTTTGGTTATATGCCAGTATTATTATTGTGCATAATGATCTGTAACCCTTTACGGTTTCTCTTTCATAGACTCCCGTGAACATACAGATCTAAAATTCAAATACCAACCAAAAGTTGGACATTTTGATACTCTAGGATCGAACAAGAACTATGCATTTATTGTTGATTACGTCATTAAAAAAATCAAAACTGTGAAATTAAATTAATAAATTTGTATTTATTAAAAAACAAATATACCCAAAAACTAATATAATCAAATAGAATCAAACCAGTTAAAATAAGTCGAGATTGATCAAATTTTCAATTAAAGTTAAATAATTCATTTTATTATGTGAAAATTAATTAATTTGATTTAAATTACTTTTATTTTCAAAATCAAATCATAAATATTTCAATATTATAACTTCCAAAGACATGAAAAACTAAATTAAATCAAATACACTCAATTTTTTTAAAATTAAAACAAAAAATGTGGAAACAGCAAATTTAAATAAAATTAAATGTACGTGAATATTTTTGTGATAAAAATAAATAAATAAAATATATAATTCTGCCGTACTAAAATTATGAGAATGACAATATAGCTACTGAAAGACATTTGATTGAAAGGTGTAGGACAAACATGTAATTTGACGTGTGAGATATTTTCTTGGTTGTAGAGTCAGATATTTTGGAGGCAGTCTAGTTCATAGTAGTAGTACTGCAGCGGCAGCATTATCACATGGCCTTGGGTCCCACCCGTGTCAGCAGCTCACACGTGCAACTTGCATGCCAATATTACTTTCTTCGCACTACACCTGTTTGGTTGAAGTGGTAATCCTATCCGTATATGGCATTTGCCGTCCTTTCCGGTCCTTTGTTTTTTTGTTTTTATTTTTTCTATAACCGTTTTTCAATTTCAAGATAATGCCTTATTTTTATCATTCCAGTCTATTTTTTCAAATAATTTTTCAAAAATAATTTGTATTATCAAAATATAACATAACATGTCAAACTCAATAAATTAAAAAAATATACAAATTTTAAAAATTAAGTTCTTCTTCTAAGTTTACGAGTTTAAAAAATATAAGTGAAAAATAAAAAAATAGTTGTAACATAATTGATTAAGTTAAAATTATTATGTCATTTTATATTGGTAATTTTCCCTAAATTATATACTGTCTTTAACAATTATTTAAAACGAAATATTTGAATTCTATAACTAAGTAATTTTTATTTAGAATGAAATATTTGAATTCTATATACTGTCTTTAACAATGATAGGATATTGTGACAACCAAGTCATGTTACACCCATGTGACAACTAGTCAATCTCACCGTTAAATTAGGTTTTTGATCTAACGATCCAGATTCAATCTTTATATATACCCTCACTTCTCCTTCTCTCTCCCCTTTCTTTTTGATCATACTCTCTCTTTTCCCTTCTCTCTCATCATACAATCTACTGCCGCCGTCGCGCACTCCACCGCCCCCTCTAATTCACCGCCGCCACAGGAGGAAGGAGAATGTTCCCCAGAGCAAAATACAAGCGTGCTCTTGAATTCTTCACCTTGCAACTAATCAAATGTCCTGCAGTCCAAACCTCTATTGCCAGAAATTGCAGTTGATTCTAGTCTATCAAATTGGTTGATTACTCCTAATTATAATGTCTCCAAGATCACAATTCATTGTCAATGATGCGGATATGTCATTGAAGAATCAGAGACTTGGAAGATATTAACCCCATGAATTTCACACAGGAAAGTGCAATATGATACTACCAGCCTATTATTGGTGGAAACCAATTTGAAAGGATAACGCATATATTTTCAACCAAAAAAAAAGGATAACGCATCATAATTTGATTCTTATGTTGATTATTCATTCAACAAATCAGTATAAGCCAGTTGGGATGATTTTCATTGTATTTGTGTGTCTAATTATTATCCTGTACTTTGTTTTGTTTTGTTTTTTGGAAGGGTTATGTTGTGATCAATGCAGTGCGCGGTTGCGGCAGCGGTGGAGTGCGCATCGGCGGTGGCTGTAGATAGTATGATGAGAGAGAAGAGAAGAGAGATTGTGATGAGAGAGAAGAGAAAAGAGAGAGTATGATCAGAGAGAAAGGGGAGAGAGAAGGGGAAGTGAAGGTGTATATAAGGATTAAATATGAATCGTTAGATCAGAAACCTAATTTAACGGTGAGATTGACTGGTTGTCACATGGATGTAACATGACTTGATTGTCACAATATCCTATCCCTTATTTATATACTGTCTTTAACTTTTTTTTTTTGTTTATAAGCAATATTTTCATAACTTTATAAGACAATTCTTAAATTATGTTATTTTTTTCAAATAAGTATTAAAATAAAGATATTTATTTTGGTAATACGAAGAGTGAAAACGATTTCACTTGATTATGAAATTTATTATAGAAAAAGGTATTTTGATTAAATTGTAAAATAAAATCTTATGCTTAGAAATCATTACAAATTTGAAATAATTTAATTTAATTCCACTTAATTATTTTACTTTTGTATTCTTGTAAGAAATAAAATAAAAAGGCAACAAAGATAAAATAGTTAACTTATTTAAATGTAAATTAAGTCATATAAAATTCTCCCATATACGATGAATTTCATAATTTTTTATATTTAAATATTACAAACAGAGGACTTATTCTAAAATCAAATGTGTTTTGGGAAATTTTTTGGAAAAAGCATCTATCCTTTTAAAGGATAGAACCATATATCATTTTAGATTCTAACAGTTGATTTCCGTTGTCAATCAACGGTTATGATTTATTGGATCAAAATTATTAATTAATCAATAATAAACTTGGCCCATTAAGTTTGATCCAATAAATTATAATCGTTGATGGTCGAAAATCATATATCCTTTAAAAGGATATATGTTGTTTTCTTTTTTTTTAAACAAAATCATTTAAAATGTATAAATAAGTGAAAAAATATGAAGAAATTCTTAAATGGGAAAAACGTATATCTTTTTAAAGGATATAATCATATTCATTTTAAATTCTAACCGTTGATTTTCGTCCATCAACAGTAGTAATTTATTGGGTTAAATTTAATGAGTCGAATTTATTATTAATTAATTAATAATTTTATTCCAATAAATTGTAATCGTTGATTAACGAAAATTAACGGTTAAGACCTAAAATGACATATGATTATATCATTTAAAAGTGTGAATAAATTTAGACGAATTGTTGAATTTAATAGCTAAAAAAGCAAAAAAAGAAAAAAATCAGGGAGAAAATATTTCAATTCCAATAATGAATGAGGAGACGCGAACTACGCATAGCTAGAACCTGTAACCAAACACGGCGGCACGTCCACACACGTGTAAGTTTAACCCTGGTCCAACCCACGCGCCGTAACCCTAGTTAACAGATCACCAGCTATAAAAACCCCTCAGGCATAGCATTTCTCTTCACACCATCTTTTCTCTTTATTCCCTCTTTGTCCCAACTATTAGGGTTTCTACATTTTTCTTCAATGGCTTCTGCAGATGTTGAGTACAGATGCTTTGTTGGTGGGCTCGCATGGGCCACCGACAACGATGCTCTCGAGAAAGCCTTCTCTCCCTATGGCGAGATCGTTGAATCGAAGGTCCGTTTGTTGCAGGCATCTGATCTGACACGATTCGGATTTGGATTTTTCTCGATCCCATTCTGATCTGTGATCTCTGATGTGTTTGCGTTACTTGATCTATGATACTTGTGTTACTATATGATTCTTTTATTATTCACGCGAATCGGTACGTTCATCTTCATCTTTTTACAAAAGGCGAAGATCGATCGGTTTCTATGCGTTTTTTGCTTTGTTTTTTATGCTATTTTCCTTCAGATCTGATACGTTTGTTTATTATTTTTTGCAGATCATTAACGATCGCGAGACTGGAAGGTCAAGAGGTTTCGGATTCGTGACTTTCGCCTCTGAGCAGGCGATGAGGGATGCGATCGATGGGATGAACGGCCAGAACCTCGACGGCCGTAACATCACTGTGAACGAAGCTCAGTCCCGTGGCGGCGGCGGCGGCGGAGGTTTTGGAGGCGGAGGTGGTGGTGGATACAGCCGCGGAGGCGGTGGTGGTGGATATGGTGGAGGCGGTGGTCGTCGTGAGGGTGGCTACAACCGAAACGGCGGCAGTGGAGGCTACGGAAGTGGTGGCGGCGGCGGCGGTTATGGTGGAGGCAGAGACCGTGGCTATGGTGATGGTGGATCCCGCTACTCTCGTGGCGGCGGCGGTGATGGTGGAAGCTGGAGGAGTTAGAGTTAGGTTGTGGGTTGGGGTTTATGGTTGGTTATGTTCAGTTGTTCTATTAGATGTTCGAGTGTACTGGTACTGGTACTGGTTTAAGTTTGGTTATCTGCAATGGTTTCGTGTTCCTGTGGTTTCTTGTTTTTTGACCTCTGAATCTGGTTGTTCATAAACGATCGATTGAAAGGATATTCAGAAATTTAAGAGCATTATATTTCTACATGTTTTTTCTTCACAGTTCTGCGATTTAAATTGGACTAACGCTTCCGTTTAATTTGACTGTTTTGATAATTGGTTAATTGAATTTCATTAAACGCGTACTAATTAATCTATTGCCTTGTTCAGAGCAAGGTATTTTACTGGGACCTACTGAATCAGCATTTTCTTAAATATTTATATAATTGAATAAAATGAAATTACGATTATGATTCTTAACGATTCAATTATATTTAGTTGAGATTCTTTTATGATATGTCTTAGTCACCACCGTCGAGTAAATTGATGAGGCGTCTGAATAAAAAAAAAATAATTATATGTATTATTTGAGTACTCATTTATCAAGTAGATCATAATTCAGTTACATTTATACATGATAGAATTCTTTATCGATTAATAATATCACTAGCGCAAATGCTAATAATATTTTCTAAGTTAATAATTATAAAATAGTTTAGGGTATTTTGCCTAATAAAAAGTTTTGTTTTATTTTTATTAATCTCTAATAGTTTATTGTCAGTAGTAACAAGTTATTATTTTTTTATGGTTTGAAATTGGAACGTAATTAATGTAATTTGTACTCGTATTAGTAGTTAATGATGTGAATATTGCTTTGTATTATTTCTTTAATCACTGACTTGCCGTATTATTTCATTAGGAGAAAAACTTCATAGACCATTAAAAACCCTTTGCATGAGAGTATGCATGAGTATTTAAGTTGATCAGTTTAAAATTGAATCAATACGATGATTATTTGGACTAAATGTTATTAACGACTATAATTATTAATAGTCAGTAAGATTTCACAATAATCTGCTTCCGGCTGTTACCTAATAAATTGACGTGTTTGTTGCTGCAGCGCACATCCTTGTTTAGTCCTATGCAGAATTGAGTTTTTTGGACTTGGGACTTGGGAGGTTGCAGCAGTGCGTGTTAAATCAAAATTTTCTACCTAGCTGGCTACAAAATTTATTCCTGAAGTCTGCAATTCTGATGAAGCCAGCTCTATAACGCAAGCAACTGGTCAGGTGCAGATCTAAATTTATTTATTTATTTTCTTGTATAAGGTTCATTCGTTAATGCACGCTCTTACCTGAAAATAAAGAGGGGACTTCCCTACAGTGTTTAGTTCTTTTGGGCCATCTCCTCTGTCCATTTTATTGTTTGGCTATTCGTTGGACAAATTAACCTTACCTTGAATAGTTGTTTTAAGCATGTTCTTGTACTCATCATTGCACTATTGGCAAAACTCATCCTGATAGTTCATATTCCCATACACATACACTCATGACCAGTCAGATCTTATTGAAATTATGGGCCTTTTTTATTTATTTATTGTAATACATCCTGTTAAGGTTTTGGACCATTCCAAACATTGAGCCTTTACATTGGAACCCAGAAATGGGGCGAACAAAAATGGATAAACAAAATTAAGTGGAATTAATGTTTATCAGTAGGATACATAAACATATGAAAGTACGTGGGGTTCATATTTTTTTACTCTATCTTCTCTTTACATAGGTTCTCATAGGTTCCACGTACTTTTATGTGTACGTAGTAGATAAAATTATATCATCCAACATAAACACTAATCTCAAATTCAGTTTATAGAACTCGTAAACATATATTTCGACTAAGTGACTTAGGTTTATGGAATTTTTTATTTTTCTTTTATTTATCAATTCATCATTATTCAATTGGTTCGACTAGAGTGATGATAAAGACAATAAAACTTTTTCTAATCAAGTTTTTAACATAACTATATACAAAGGACCGGAACAATCACGAACTCAATATCAATAATTAAAGATGATAATATTATAAGGAAGGTTTTATTTGACTGGAGTTTGTAAAGCATCGTCACTTGCAAGATCAATGATTGTCCCCACAAATCCCCACAAATCAATATGAGACTTTTCAGCATGCTTTATTCTCACTCATACACTTTCTGAGATCCCAGGAGGTCACAAATCTCACAATTGCTATAAGTCAAGCACATTTAACTATGAAATTCTTAAGTTATGGATTACCAAAAAGTAGATGCATTTTGTTATTATAGGTAGTATATATTCCTTTAAGCTATCCTCAGTTATACAATTTCATACCTGCACAGCCTCTGGATCTTTCTCGTTCGAGTGTTGATTAGTTTTATTCATGTATCGCTTACGGTGGAAGCTTGCCAGAAGCCTACTGTCACAGCCCTCATATCTTAGCGGGTCTGGATTCCAGACACTGAAATTTTCGTTTGGTAGTATAGTTCAACCCAAGTGCCAAAGGACTATCTATTCTTCGCTCTCGTTAGTGCCTGAGATGTTACATGCTCATCGACTTTCGCCTAGTTCATTCTTGAACCACACTTTACTAAAAAAGAGACCATGCTCTGGAAAAAAAGAAACAAATTTCTCCAAGTCAAATTTTTTTTAGTTGTAATGAATAGATTTGGATAGGTTAGATTTAAAATTTTTGTTAAAACGGTAAAAGAAAAAAAAAAGAATTAACCAGTCAGTTGATTCAATATATATATATATATATATATATATATATATATATATATATATATATATAACAACCCGCTTAATGTAAAAAGAAAGGAAACAGAGACAAGAGAAAAGAAAAGAAAGTAGAAAGGAGAAAATAAAAGGAGAAAGAGGAAAAGAGAGGAAAAAGGAAAAAAAGAAAGGTAATAGTGGGGGAAGCATCTTATTCAATTATTTTTATTTTTTAAAGTTGTTTATTAGTTATTTTTTAAAGTTGTGATGGTGCTGTTACTTTGTTAAAATTCTTTAGTAAATTTCTCTATTTGGCTTTGTTTATATCTTTAGTTTTATTTTTATCTTTATTTAGTTATCAAATTTTAGTTTTAAAAATTTGGTTGAGACTGATAATTTTTAACTCTATTATTCATATATGAACTGTCCAACAAAAGTTTTTAACTCTATTTTTAACTCTATTATTCATATATCAAGTCAAATTCATATATGAAAATATTGTAAGAGACGTCTTACTTGACTTTGAACTCAGTCATTTCATATGCAGGAACCCGTAAAGTTTTGAGCTTTGGTAATTTCAGTTGATTATTATCCATTCTTTTATGTATTTATTTTCATATTGAGAGAATCATTTATCCATTATTACGGTTGGACTGATTATAGTTAGAAAAACTCAATATATACTGTGACTTATCTCACGTGTGTTTTATTTTTATGCTAACCTTTCATGAACCACCATGTCTAGTTTCTGTTTTACCAGTGAAGGATGGGGAGTAACTATTTATTTTTGTGATGATCGTTCAAAATTTTATATTATGATGGGCAATGAGGAAGTGGCGACCGTAGTTTATCAGGATAGAGTACACATTTATGTATAGGATAGACTAGATAAGACTAAAGAAGTGTACAAACTTATAACTTCGGGCCTGTTTGGTACGCGGGATTCTTGGAGATTTCCGAGAAACTGAATTTTTCTAAATTTTTAATTTTCAGATATTATCGTAAACTGAATGTAAAATTCATATTTTTGAAAATTGAGATTCTCGGATAAAAAAAAAATTTCCCTCTACCAAACGCTCCCTTCAAGTATTTAGGATGTAATCTATGTTCTAAAATGATATAAAATAGTCTAGATTTTGTATTTAACGTAAAATAGTTAGAATGTAAAATTTTATGTACTTGACTCAAATCTATGTACAAAGTAACTCAAGAGTGTTTGTTTTATCATATAATAATCGATGTATAAAAAGTTTATATTCCTATTTTTTTGTATTTATCATTAAGATATTTTTTTAAAAGTCACGTGATATTCTCTATGCTAGTTAATTATAGAGGGTGTTACATTTTAAACAAACACTCTTGAGTTACTTTGTACATAAATTTGAGTCAAGTACATAAATTTTTACATTCTAGCTATTTTACATTAAATCCTACATCCTAGACTATTTTACATCAATTCAGTACATAAATTACATCCTAACCTCTTGAAGTTATAAGTTTGTACACTGTTTTAGTCTCAACTAGTCTATCCTATATACATAAGTTTTTATGCTATCCTGATAAAAGATGGCCACCATTTTCTGATTGTCTAGCATGATATTAAATTCTAAACGATCCTCCTAGAGAAATAGATAGTTACTCCCCATCCTTCACCGGAAAAACAGAAACTAGGTATGATGGTTCTTTAGAAAAGTTAGCATCAAAATAAAACACATGTGAGATAAATCTCAATAATATTGAATTTTTCTAACTATAACCAGTCCAACCGTAATTACAGTCAATCTTGTTCATAATAGAAAAATAATAAATACAGAAAAGAATGTGTAATATTCTACTGAAATTACTAAAGCCCAAAATTCTGTGGATTATTGTATGTAAAAGGTTCGAAGTGACCGAGCTCAAAGTCAAGTAAGATGTCCCTTACAATATTCTCGTATGATCCCAAAACTTTTGTGAGACAGTTCACATCAAAATAATATTGTTAAAAATCGCATATTCTATTAGTACCTATTTGATACCAAAGGAATTATCAGTTTTATAACCAAATCTTAAAACAAAAATTCAATAACTAAATAAACATAAAAATAAAACTAAAGATATAAATAAAGCCAAATAAATGAAATTTACTAATTTTTTTTTAACATAGTAACAACACCATTGCAACTTTAAAAAATAACTAAAATTCCACTTTAAAAAATAAAAATAAGAGAATGAGGTGCTTCCCCCAATATTATCTTTCTCTTTTCCTGTTTTTTCTTTCTTTTTTTCCCTTAGTTTCTTTTCTCTTCTCTCTATTTCCGTTCTTTCTTTTTGGGGGGGGGGGGGGGGGGGGGTTGTTTATATGTATATATGGGAAAAGTGTGTATAATTTCAAAGGATGTAAAGTTATGTCATTTTAAGTGAGAGAAAGAGATAGATAAAAGAGGAGAGAGAATGGACAAAAAAATATACAGGTGTGGGTCCCACTTCTTTGTGAGAGTGAAAGGATATAAGTTGTGTCATTTAAAAGGACAAACA